AACCCCCCCCCCCCCCCAAATGTGTGTATGAGTTGCGTGTTTGACACGTTATGTGTCTTTGTTACTAAATTTTATCTATTTCCGTAATTGTTTTGGACTTTTGGTCCGCGTTGTGTTCTTGCATTTTCTGTGCTGAATCCAACCGTATAAAGAACGTGAATTTTGGACGTACGGTTGGAAAGTTATAGGCAAAACATTGGACAGAGGTCGAAACTGAAAAACAGAGAATTCGACTCTGCCCAAAAACGACCGGTCGCTTTTACCTGACGACCGGTCGCTTTTCACGTCAAAACAGAGAATTTCGACTCTGCCCAAAAACGACCGGTCGCTTTTACCTGACGACCGGTCGCTTTTCACGTCAAAACAGAGAATTTCGACTCTGCCCAAAAACGACCGGTCGCTTTTACCTGACGACCGGTCGCTTTTCACGTCAAAACAGAGAATTTCGACTCTGCCCAAAAACGACCGGTCGCTTTTACCTGACGACCGGTCGCTTTTCACGTCAAAACAGAGAATTTCGACTCTGCCCAAAAACGACCGGTCGCTTTTACCTGACGACCGGTCGCTTTTCACGTCAAAACAGAGAATTTCGACTCTGCCCAAAAACGACCGGTCGCTTTTACCTGACGACCGGTCGCTTTTCACGTCAAAACAGAGAATTTCGACTCTGCCCAAAAACGACCGGTCGCTTTTACCTGACGACCGGTCGCTTTTCACGTCAAAACAGAGAATTTCGACTCTGCCCAAAAACGACCGGTCGCTTTTACCTGACGACCGGTCGCTTTTCACGTCAAAATTTGAGTTTCGACTCTGCCCAAAAACGACCGGTCTCTTTTACCTAACGACCGGTCGCCAGACCAAAAACGACCGGTCGCTCTTACCTCACGACCGGTCGCTGGTCACTGTTCACAGCACATTTCCTTTTTTTTTGTGTTTTGTTTGTTTCTTTTACATTTCTTTACTTTCTTTTTAGTTTTAAATTTGCATTTTTGCATTGTGGTGTGTTAGTTGAGTGTTCTCTTTGTACTCGAATTAGAACTTATAGGCAACCGACAAGTTCTTTGTGGGATCGACCCCGTACTTACATAATCTATACTTCGATAGATTCGTGCACTTGCAGGTATTTTTAATTGGTTGTTTGCACATTAAATTGTGTCCTTTTAGGAATGCAACAACAGTCAGGCCAACCTCATTCACAGCCAAGACATAAGCTTCCTGTAACTCAATTTATATACTAATTTTACAAAAACATATAGACTAGTTTTTCAAAAACATACATACTAATATGTCATTTATGTAGGTGAGGAGAGCTCGTTCAAATTGTCACTCAATCGAACCTAATGCACAACCAAGCCAATCAACTCATCTTTCATAGCCAAGCCAATCATCCCGAGCTCAATCACAGTCACTGCAAGCCCACATCATTTCTGATAAAGAGGGAGGTCCTTCAAAGAAGAGGTTGACATTTGCTACAAACAACAAGGAGTGGCTAAAGAAAGTTAGGGCCACTATGCAACCTTGGCAGTGGTGATTTTGATGTCCATGAAGAAGATTGCAATTGTGTTGATTGCAGTTGATGTGGAATTATGTTTTGATAAGGAAGGGGAGAAAACAATCACTGTTGTTCATGTGAAAGAACTAATTTTGGCATTTTGTGTTCTTGATGTGGAATTGTAAGCCTTTTGAAATAAATTTTATGTACAATTGGCTGCAATTGATGTGGATTTAAGTTTTTTTTATGTCCTTTTGGGTTTTTGATGTGGACATGGTCTTTTCTTGTCGAATTAGAATGTGTAAACTAATGTTCACAATAGAAATGTACTTAATGAATTAAGCCTATGTTGGCATCAAGTTTATTTGTCAAGTAAATTAAGCCAGTGGTGATTTTTTAGTTTCAGAACTCATTTACCTATTTGTTTAGTTTGCTCACTATCTCAAAGTATGGTTAGTTGATACCAAAAAAAAAAAAAAAAAAAGTAAGACCACTTTACAGAGAAACATTAAACAACAACAAAAAGTATGACAATATTCAAATACCATTGGATTAACCATTCTAAAAAACACCAGATTACATAACACACAAATGCCATTGTGCTCAACCAAAAGAAAGAGGTTGACATCTGCTACAAAACAAGGAGTGGCTAAAGGAAGTTAGGGCCACTATGCAACCTTGGCAGTGGTGATTTTGATGTCCATGAAGAAGATTGCAATTGTGTTGATTGCAGTTTGTTTGTAACATATCTGACCCTCCACTCATACAGTGACATGTGGATTAGTAAAACCCCCCAGTTGCCTAAGGCAGCGAACAATCGGTATCACCTACCGATTCTGCGGAACAAACCTCGAAGGCCCCGCCCGAAATATCCAAAGACTCGTGTCAACCTCGTAAGGCCCTCCCATGAGTTCCACATCAAAATTAAGTACTAAGAGCATACCAAATGCCTTCTATAAATAGGCTCATTCACTAAAATACGGAGGGTAAGACTTTTCAGCTTGACTTTTATGCTAAATACATTGTCAGTAGCAAAAACTCTTAGAAACAAACTTACTTCGGTATCGGAGGGTCTTAGGCTGGTTCCTCACCGGTGCCATAGACCTCACGAGTCTTGGCTTCCTTTGATTCAGGATCGGCATCCCGGGACGGGAAGAGCCTGCATCGAACACTCAATCGATCCCTAGATCGTCCACAACACTTGTAAGTTGCACCTATCTTTATCTGTTCAGTTTTAGTGCCAACACAGTTGATGTGGAATTATGTTTTGATAAGGAAAGGGAGAAAACAATCACTGTTGTTCATGTGAAAGAACTAATAATTTTGGCATTTCGTGTTCTTGATGTGGAATTGTAAGCCTTTTGAAATAGATTTGATGTACAATTGGCTGTAGTTAATGTGGATTTAAGTTTTTTTATATGTCCTTTTGGGTTTTTGATGTGGACGTGGTCTTTTCTTGTCGAATTAGAATGTGTAAACTGATGTTCACAGTAGAAATGTACTTAATGAATTAAGCCTATGTTGGCATCAAGTTTATTTGTCAAGTAAATTGAGCCAGTGGTGATTTTTTAGTTTCAGAACTCATTTACCTATTTGTTTAGTTTGCTCACTATCTCAAAGTATGGTTAGTTGATACCCAAAAAAAAAAAACAAAAACAAAGTAAGACCACTTTACAGAGAAACATTAAACAACAACAAAAAGTATGACAATATTCAAATACCATTGGATTAACCGTTCTAAAAAACACCAGATTACATAACACACAAATGCCATTGTGCTCAACCATTCCCAAAACACTTGCAGATTACAAACCTACCTCCTCCCCTTTGTTACAATTAAGATTACTAAACCTACATTAAATAGTCAACTCTAAACCTAATGATGATTATCCCTTAAACCAGCAACCATCATGGAAATCAACATTATCTAAGAAAGAAACAGAAATCCCCACACAATTTCTCTCTTCCTCAAAGCTTGGCTAGATCATGTTCCAGTCTTCCCCTATTCTTCAGCAACCCATGTATTATATCCTTTGAACGAGAACACATCTGTGGATCAAACCACTCAAAGAAGCAACAACCTCTGTTCCTTCCCTGTAACACCATAATATCATCAAAAACTACCATAAACAAGCAAAAATCTACAAATTTTAAAGTGGTTGTTACCAGTGGGCAGACTAGAAACCTCCGACCTGGGTTGGAATCTGTCCACGAGGTCTGAACTCGGCAGTGCTTCCCACAATGGCAATGCTTTCGTTGTCGACCCTCCATCGTTGCTTCAATTCAATTGTTGAAGGAGGTCTTTAGGGTCCACAATTGTTTGCAATTTGGGACCAATTTTTACAGAGTTAATTAATACCCATAAATTCTTATATGGACAAATGAACCAAGAAAAATAGCACATGGGAGGCACGTGTGCAAGTTTGACGACTTCTGTTTAGGCCGGATGGAATCCATACAAAGTGAGACACTATATGGAGTTTCATAGGAGAAAGTGAGACACTTAGAGTTTTAGGGGGGAAACTGATGAGACTGAAATTAAGTTACAGGGGGTATTTCAATAATTTAGTCTATTATATATAATATATAGAATTTGTAATAAACAACTTAGTATTTAAGTTAAAATTTCCTCTAAAACAAATTAGACATGACTCAATTAGAAATATTTAGCTCTAAACATGTAAGTATATACTTAGGTGTTTTATATATATACTTGTATTTTCTACTTTGGCCCCCCACCTTTACAATTCTAGCTCCGAGATTATATATCTCTCCTCTTACAATATATATATATATATATATATATACAAGTTTATAACATCTCTATCAGCTTATTAATTAAACAAACTCTTAACAACTCTCTCAGCTTATTAATTAAACAAACTCTTAACAATACATACAACTACATATCAGCACTTAATTCATGGACCCTTATACCCGTAAAAAGTGTTGAGGACAGAACACTAAGGATGAACTGCATTAAGGTGACAAGCAGAATGAGAATCCCTACGGTCAAAGCAATAATTTTCCATGGGCTACTAAAGTAGTCGCGCCTCAATTGTTCGAAATACTTATTCCATTTAACTTGGTAATATTTATTCACTTCAGCGCCGAGTTTGGCATACTGGAAATCTTTGAGTGTGGTGTCAATGTAAAGGCTGTTAAAGAACTTAGAACCATCTTCAACGTTGAGCCAGTTAGCTAAGATTTTTTTCTCAGAAAGGAGCTTTATATCCTTATCGGAACTGATGAGTTTATCCATGAAAAAGGCGTAAGATGTTATTTGTTGAGAACGACCATGATAGCACTGCTCAAAGGCGATGAGGTTCCTGAATAATGGTTGGGTCAACTCTCCAATTGCTAGTTCTGGAATTGTTAAAACCCCATTTTCAAATTTGATGTTCAGTAGATTATCAGCCGAGTCGCCCTTTTTAAATTTGACGCCTGCTTCTGAGAGAGCAGTGGCTGGAGGAATATCCAATCCGAACTCTTCTTCAGACTCTTCATTGAAGTCTAAAACAATGCAAGTTCTTATTAGATCAAGTATGTGGCAAACTTTTTTGTCATCAACCCTGTGGTGACGTGCACGATAGGGCTTCAAATATTGTTCCAACGATTTTACTTCGCTGAAGGCGAAGAGCAGGACTACTCTGAACTTGGGCTCATGCTCACCGGGTAGTTTTTTCCGGATAAGGTCATATAAACGGCTGAGAACAAACCAAGGAAGCTGATTTTCTAACAGCAAAAGATCATGACATACATATTGGAACATGCAATCCATGTTCCATATGGGGTCCCCAGCATCTCTTGCATGCACATCAACAATCTTCCGAACTAGTTGTATTACGAAGCAGCCATCAAGTATCATTATTTCTATGAACTTACTCTCTGTATCGTGATCAAGTGGTTCTGCATAAAACTGACGGGCCCGTTTCTCAAACTCAACAATGATGCCTTCTTTATGCAATAACACGATGAATTCGTCTAAGCTTATCTCCATTCTGGTGAGAAGGGTATCTAAATACCACTGCTTCACAGTTTCCATGAGCTGGAATCTTTCATCACTGCCTCGATGGAAGGGTCCGATTGACACGACGTCAGGTTCATACGCATTTGGTTTATGCCTCCGGAGCACTTCGGGAACTTTGAAGATGCAGCATGTGGAAGGCAAGGGTGGTATAGCAGGGCTTCTTCTCATGCGCTCTTTCAATGCTGCAAATAATAAAGTATTTTCTCCAACAATAATTGAAGTACCATCGGTACTGCATTCTGTTTCAATAGCCATGATGACCAGTCCAACTATGTATATATTGTCCTGAAAGTCTGAAGCAAGTTGAAATGGCATAAAATCTCAAAAGCGCGAATGTAGTATATAGGTAGCACTCATGCAATAATCTTCACTACGTACACAAATTTACTGCATTATTGTAATTTTAAAAAAAAGATATTTTTGCTCACCACTTTAATCCAAGGTGTATCTTCACTACTCTTTTTAATACTTGACACATATCCATGAGCATAACCATGATTAACTTTTTATTTTGTATTTATGAAACTATGATTATGCATTTGGATACATGTCAAATATTGAGAAGAGTGGTAAAGATATACCTTGGGTTAAAGTAGCAAGCAAAAATATTCTATTTAAAAAAAAAGGTTGTTAGATATGCCCTTGTAACTCTTATATCCCAGACAAAAACCCACCTAGTTTCCAACAAATATGAAAAACCAAAATTTGAATACAGGTTAATAGTTATCCTAATATAAAGCATTTACAGAATATGCCATCTATCTTACTTGTTAAATCCCTCATTTTTAGCATAATTATTTAATTATTTTTAATTTGGGCACCTTTAATAAAACGTTTCGACTATACATAAATATAGTCCTGATCTCTTGGACCACAGGAGTCCAAGAAATTGTGGTCACCTACCGTTGGATATTAATCCAATGGTTCAAAAAAGTTTCTTAAAAGGAGTGCAAGAGTGAGTGAACCATTGAATTTACATCCAACGGTGAGTGACCACAAATCTCTTGGACCCCTGTGGTCCAAGAGATCAGGACTATACATAAATAATAGGTTAATACACCTCATACATACAATACATATAAATAGTAACAATATTATAGCTAAACAATGATAAAATACCTAATACAAATTAATCTTTTTGTCTAAAAAGGCGTTAATTTGGTAATTGTCTATTGGAAAATTATGGTGATAAATGCTATACATAATTTACCTACAATTATTTGTTTAGAAAAAGATAGGTGCATAATTCATTAAAAATATGTATATAAGTACATTACTTACATTTATACACGATAGGTAAAAAGATGGGAGATTCACTATTATACCCAATATAGGAGCCCAAATTATAAAATAAAAAAACCTATATGAAATGGACGTTAGAAACACACACAACCCGACCCCAACACCTCACAAAAAAGCCCAAAACACTCAGGCCCAGTTTGGGATTGCTGTCACTTTTAAAAAAAAGTTGCTTCTGCTGTTCTTTGAAAATAATTACCTGTAAAGTAAAGCAGCTCCATGTTTGGTAAACAATATTTTTAAAGTGTTGTTAGTACAAAAAACAATGTCAAAATCGTTTGATAAATTTTAATATAAAATTGTTGTAACTGTGAATAATGACTAAAATAGACATGATGTTGAAAGTGTTATGTACTAATCATGTGGTGGTAGTGGTGGTGATAGAGTGGAGGTGGTGGTGGTGATGAAGGTGGAGTTGGTGGTTGTGGTAGTGGTGGTGGCAGGGATGGCTATTGTGGAGGTGGTGGTGGATGTGGAGGTTTTGGAGGAGGTGGTGGTTGTGGTGGTGGTGGTGGTGGAGGTGGAGGAGGTGGTGGTTGTGGTGGTGGCGGCGGAGGATGAGGAGGAGGAGGAGGAGGATGTGGTGGTGGTGGTGGTGACGGCGGTGCAAGTGGTGGAGTTGGATGTGGAAGTGGAGGTGGTGTCATTTTTTAAAATGAATGATGGTATTTTGGGAATTAAAAAAATTCATTAAAAGTTCATTTCTGCTTCTTTTGAAAGCAACTTTGAAAAGCAACTCAGAACCTGCTTTTAAAAGCTGCTGTCAAAAGGCCACTGCTTTTAAAATAATCGGGATATTTTATTTTTATCAAACACCTTAAACTGCTTAACTTTAAAATGAAGCAGGTTTTTGGCAAAAAAAAAACAATCCCAAACGGGACCTCAATAGGGCATCAAAGTAATTTAATAATTAAAATTAAATTCAATAGGGTCAGCTGTCATTTTCTGAGTTTTTTTTTTGGGTTTGTTTATAGAAATTAAATTATGTAGGGTTTATTTATAGTTTTAGTGCTAAGAATTGGTATATGACTAAATATCACTAAAAAGATATAGGTATGCCCTTTATTTTTCAGAAAAACTTATACAAGATAGAGTAAAAAGATATGGGATCGATGTTTAAAGCTTATATAGAAACAAATAATTCACGTGTATGTAGTTTATATAGGTAAACAAATAATTCACGTGTACTGCATACTACCTAGTTTCTTGAAAAAAGTAATGTATCTGAATTTTTTTTTTTTTACTTATATCTTTAATGAAGATTGTATTTGGGACGGGTCTCTTTTCTTTCCCCTCTCTTTAACGAAGATTGGCACCCCACACCACATGACACGCTAAACTGTAATTATGGTTATTTTTGAAATCTGAAAAATACAATAAATTAAAATTTAAGTTAAATTTAATAACTTATTGAGTTGGATCCTAGTCATCATATTTTACTTAATAAAAATTTGGTTTGATTTATAAAAAAATAAAAATAAGATGATGGACTGTAGGTAAGAAAAAAATAACTTGAAGGGAAAAAGCCAAATAAAAGAGAGAATAAATAAATAAATAAATATATATATATATATATATATTTAATTTCACTAACAAAAATAAAATGAAATGCACAAAAACGGGTGACTGACAACAAGGACGACAACATATACTCACCAAAAATATACTAAAAAGAAACAGTGAGAAAATATATCGCACCCTAGTTGGGCTTGGGAATAAGAGAAGGAACCAATTGACAATTGTACCTTGAGAGCGAGAGCAGAGAGACAGTATTTGTAATTGCGTAAAGCTCCAACTGGTAGTAGAACAGCAAGAGAAAGCAGATTCTACGCACTCAGGTAAAGGAGCGACAAAACAAGAGTAGGCAGTAATGGTGTCTTATGCATTGCTCAATTGCATCAATTTATATAGATTTATCAGTCAACCTTTTTTGTCTTTTTTTTTCTTTGTTTTCTTTTTCCTCGCTGATTAAGTTAATTTTTTTGTTTGTATTATCCGTGGACGAAGACTTCCTAGTGCTCTGCTTTAAATATATTTTTATAATTGCTTACCAACCCTTTCATTTTCTAATACCTGAGGGGAAATCACTTCCTATGTCATTTTTCATTTTCTGATACATTATGTTTGGTAATCCTGGAAAAGTAATTAAGAAATACCACTTTATTTCTTTTCACTTGTTTGGTTTGTGTAGGAATGTTAAAAAAGTTTGTTTAAAATCAAATAAAAAAAGAATGCATTTCATGCTATATTGTAATTCTAAATTGTTATTGGGGACAATATGGTCATGAAAAATGTGTATTTAATGTTAGCTCATTTTCCCAAACTTTCCTATGATGAGGAAAACAAAACCCAAGGGGATAGAAGGGCTTCACTTTCCCTCATATTTTTCCATATGCAAAGCAAACAGGACGTGTCATATGCCTAACAGGACGCGTAAATCCATCAACAAGGTAAAACTGAGTGGTTGATGTCGTGCTCATCTTTGCTGTGTCCTCCTTCGATTGATAATTTGATATACATAGCATGCTTATGTTACTCACTCAAATTTTCCTTCCACCCCACTCTTAGAAAAAGGAAATAAAACTTGAAGAAATTATATTAACAGTCATGACCGCTAGTACCATTAACCAAGGAGCTTCAGGAACATTCCGTGCATTGTTCACAACTTTTCATTTTGATGTGAACCTTATCGAATACAAACATACGACAAGTGTTTTAAAAAGAAAACCCAATTCTACACATCAGTCGGTAAATATTAAGGTGGAGAAAGCCAACCCACCACCACCGACAGGCAAGTCTTTTGTCCATGTCAATATATATATATATTGCTTTAGTTGAAGGATTCTCAAATATATTTATTTGAGGGATATCATTATAGTGCTCACTCTGTTGTAGCTCTCAATCTAATATGAAAATATTTATAAATAAATTTGTCATGACTTAACACCATTAAAATAATTTTTTTAACTACTAAAATTCATCATTTATTAGCATGCAATAGCAATCATAAATAACATTCATAAAAAGTTTTAATGTTTCAATTGGAGAAAATGGAAGAGGAAGAAGACATGAACTTTTTTTGTTTTAAAAACTGAATGACACAATATGGATTCGAACCTAACTTACCTACTAAAATCAAAGGGATGAATTCCAACTCAACCAAATACACACTTGTGTTACTTTCCTGCACGCTTAAGTATATATATATAACACCTATAATATTAATATAGGTAATATACACGTAAAAACATTTCGGGGCCTTTAAAAATTAGGGGTCCTATGTGGTGACACCACTTGCACACCCTCAGGGCCGCCCCTACGTCTATTTTGTAGATACTCATTCAAAGATCATCTCTACAAAAAAAAAATCACTTGAATCAGATATCATTTGACCACTCAATTGAATTATTGAAATTTTAGTACTTTCTTAAAGAACTGTGTTAATTGATTTTGTAGAACACTATTGGATATTAAAACGGTTTTTGATTTGTCTAATTTTTTGCAAAGATGATCTATGAATGTAGACTTCAACAATAAATGGTTTGGATCATTGAAAAAATATTTAGAGAACCTTAAAGGGTAATATATATATATATCTTCTCCTTTATCCAGATCAATGATTGCTGCTCTACTTAAATCGCTATGCTTCCCAGACAATAATGTGGTGATAAAAATGACAAGGAAAAGATGTATGACTTTCACCCAACTGCATCATAACTAGAAATTGTGCTAGTTCAAAACTTATTCATATTCACGACATAAGAACTCGACCCAAAAATAAAAATATTCAATTGCATGTAGCTGAGAAATGAAGATTGGATTTGGGAAGAAACTTCTGGCTTGACATTTCTAGTACACTATTGACAATCCACATAATCCAAACTCCACACTATAATTCATTCATAAAAAGGGAGCATGCCAAGCACAAACACACTAATGAAATGCACTAGTCATGAATGATTTACCTTCAATGCAATGCAGTCATGTTGAAATAAAAAAATAGCAAGTGTGTGGAAAGTTGAATCTTGATGGGATTAAACATGCACCAAAAGTCTTCCAATCCGACTATTCACAACAGTGCTCACTTTTAATGGGGTTTGTCCAATTGTACAGAACGTGTAACACGAGCAAGGATTTTCCTTAAAAAACTTGAGACCGAATATGACATTTATCTACTTCAATTCGTGTGCCAGAAGCCAAAATGGCTTTTGGGATTATCTTTGAAGGAGATAAAAACAAACCGTATTCCTTACTTCATACAATTATTACATGTCCCCACTCAATGACAGATCCATAATTGTGACCTGAAGGGGTTATATCGTAAAAGTTCTGAAATTATTTTAAGAAGAAAATAATACTGAAAAAAATAGAAAGATAGTATTTTCATTCATAAATCATGACAAAAACAATTATAGTATAATTGTTCACAACGAGTTTTCATATTTTGAAAACTTTTCATGACAGCTTCTTTATCAATGCAAGGAAAAAGTACATCTCTTAATGTAAACATGGCGTAGAAAATACATATTATCCGCATAGTAATAACGTTTACACCTCTGCACATGGGAGAAAATAGGAACAATTATATCCTACAACTCACTACTTATCCTATCTTAAAACACCAATCAAAGTCGTAACCAACATGTGCATCTCGGATGAGTGCTCTACATGGACTTTACCTTAAACTCATTGAAAAACTCCTTGTTCCGCCCTTTCCAGGACTAAGCATGTTCGTGCCCATGGGATCTTAATAGTCCACAACATATATATGTTTTACAGGTTTTGATCCTTAAATATCCAATTATATTATAATAATTTGGGCCTGTTTATGAAATGGGTTATACATACATGATATGCCACTGCATAGTATCCTCTTAAATATTGTAATATCAGATCCGTATATGTTCATCCCTTTACTAGACCAGCATGGTTATTTTTCTTGTTTTTACTAGAATCCAGCATGCTTCTTTAATGTTCATGATGGAAGAATTTTTTTTAAAAACAAAACTTACATAGTATCCTCTTAGAAACATTGTACAACCAAGATGGACTTGAGAAATCAGTTACTTTAACTTGAATAAAAAAGTGTGTATAGTATTGTATGTGATGAGTGCTGCCTCAGGGCTGAGGACGTGAGTAATATGGAATGGATGGTTGGTTAGAAGATGGAAATGGGATCCACAAGTGTGATTTCCTTTTCCTAATGTTTCCCGAATTCATCCAAAATATATATATATATATATATATATAATCAAATAGTAGCAGTTAACTTTTATGTGGGTTTTATTTTTTTCATCGTTGCTATTTTTGAAAAAAAACTCAAAACAAACGTAAATATATAACCTCATCTTGTATTATGAAGGAAGTTGAGATTCCAGCGCAGTTTTAACTTTTATGTGGGTTTTATTTTTTTCATCGTTGCTATTTTTGAAAAAAAACTCAAAACAAACGTAAATATATAACCTCATCTTGTATTATGAAGGAAGTTGAGATTCCAGCCCAAAATTAATTGAGAATGAAGAAGTAGCCCAAAACTAATTCATACAAATGAAACACGCCAAGTACAAAAAAACTAATTAACGCAATGCAACCATGAATGATTTTACTTTAATCCAGCACCTTGCCATGTCGAATCTTGATCTCAGCTGAAAGAGTGATCCTAACCTAGCTAATTGAGCTTGTTTATGTTCATAAGAGATTACAATCAAGATTAAGTTTGTCAAGAGAAGAGCAAAACATAGCTAAACAAAATCCTATAACAGATGTTCTAATAGCACATTTGAAAAATCAGTTACAATACTAGCATATTGTTTTTTTAATAAATAAAATAAAAAAGAAAATGTGTGGAAACTTGAATCATGATGGGTTGGTGGGGACGTAACACCCACCATCACTAGACATACACCAAAAGCCTTCCTACATGAATATTCATGTTCACTTTTAATAGGATTTGTCTAATTGCGCAGAATGTGTAACATGACCTACTGTTTTTCCTTAAAAAACTTGCGACAGAATATGACATTTATCTACTTCACTTCATGTGCCAGGGGTCAAAATGGCTTTTGGGATTATCTTGAAGGTGACAAAGATAAATAATTTTCCTTACTTTAAACAATTAGTATATGTGCCCACTCGGTGGCGTATTCAAAATTTAGCTAGAATTGTGACCTCAAACGCTTTCTAAAGATTGGCATTCAATCAGAGGGGTTATGGTGTAAAATTTTCTTAAATTTTTTAAAGAAAAAAATAACACTAAAAACAGTACTTATATTCATAATTAATGGTAAAAATAACAATACAAACTTCAATTGTTAACGATGAGTTTTCATATTTTGAAAACGTTGTATGATAGTTTCATAATCAATTAAAAAAAAAAATCTCTCAATGTAAACAACACTACATCAATCATTTTAATTGGATTTGTCCAACTGCGCAGAACGTGTAACATAACCAACTATTTTTGGTCTTTCTTTATTCCTACACATTCAAAAAAAAAAACCAACTATTTTTGGTCTTTCTTTATTCTGGTCTTTCTTTATGAGTGTTGCTAAACGAACCCTAAAATTAACTGAGTACACCCTATAATCTAAGTACACCCTAATATTTTAATTAAAATATAAAATTAACTAAGTACACCCTATTTAACTACCAAAAATACCCAGGATACACCTATACACTATCACACAACACCTTAATACCAGTCCTAAACCAAATTTATCTTTTTACATGAATTTGTGCCCTATGTTTATATTTATAAATGTATTGAATTTACAGACACAAACATTGAACTTATTATTTGATTTCACAAGTTATATGAAGGAATTTTCATGGGCCCTCAACATATTATTTGGATCTAAACCAGAAAAGCTATAAAGGCATTTCCGATGTTTGTAGCAAGTTTGCAGCATACCCACATGGTCGTGGATCTCTTCAAATCATCAATATTAAACAAGCCAGAAACTGCTCCCTTTGAAGAACAAATTAAAACCAATTTTCAGAGGAAGGTTACGAAACATTGTGGGCAGTGAAGAACAAATCAAGATAGTATAACCCATTTGATAACAAAATCAAAATGAGATTTACCAATATGAGACGACCACGACACCAGTATAATGGTACGACGACGGCATTGTTGTAATGGTGGAGAAGCGGATGCGACGACGGTGTTAGTGTGACGGTGGAGGAGACGATGTTATGAAGGAAGTGTTGCTATGTCTGGTGGAGGAGACGACGACGGAGTTTCATAATTCAATATATCTTTTTTGGTCATTTTATATTAGGGTAAATTAGTAATTCAATAAATAGTTTGGTAGTAGGGTGTACTCAGTTAATTTCATGGTTCGTTTAGCAGCACTCTTCTTTATTCCTACACATTAATAAATAAATAAAACAACTATTTTTGGTCTTTCTTTATTCCTACACATTAAAAAAAAACCAACTATTTTTGGTCTTTCTTTATTCTGGTCTTTCTTTATTCCTACACATTAAAAGAAAAACCAACTATTTTTGGTCTTTCTTTATTCTGGTCTTTCTTTATTCCTACACATTAAAAAAAAAACAACAACAACTATTTTTGGTCTTTCTTTATTCCTACACATTTAGGAAGTCTATATAATAGTAAATTGTTTGTGGCCCCCTCACATAAGAAAAGATGTGTTTCTCTCTCTTTACAAGCAAAAGAGTAAGTAATTTTGGGCCCACCAATATATTTATAAAAAATAAAAGTAGCCAATCAAATAAAGTTTCAAAAAATCCCCTAGGAAGTAGACTTTTACCCAAATAAAAAAGGATTTGGATTTTAATTTTTGTTCCTATATTAAGCAACATACACTAGTAAAAAAAGTGGCAATAGTCACTATTATTTGGTGATATTTGTGGCCGTGACAAAAGGCATTAGTCACTTTTTTTTACTTTTTTGGTGACTAAAAAGGCTTTTAATCACATTTTTTTGCTTTTTTTAGTGACTAAAGCCTTCAGTAACCTCCACAACAGTCACCAAATATCACTAAATAATGGTAACTATTACCACTTATTTTTTTGGTAGTGATGAACTTAGTTTGAAGCAGTCCAGTCACACACATCAAAAGAAAATAATTAAATTTGGTTGTTTGCTCTCCAACCTTCTGCTTCAAAAATTTTAATTCCAGATTAGATAACTTTACGTAGTGTTTTTCCTTAAAAAACTTGCAACAGAATATGACATTTATCTACTTCCTGTGCCAGAGGTTAAAATGGCTTTTGGGATTATCTTGAAGGTGACAAAGATAAATAATTTTCCTTACTTCATACAATTAGTATATGTCCCCACTCGGTGGCGTATTCAAAATTTAGCTAGAATTGTGACCTCAAATGCTTTCTAAAGATTGGCATTCAATCAGAGGGGTTATGGTGTAAAATTTTCTTAAATTTTTTAAAGAAAAAAATAACACTAAAAATAGTACTTACGTTCATAATTAATGGCAAAAATAACAATACAAGCTTCAATTGTCCACGATGAGTTTTTATATTTTGAAAACGTTGCATGATAGTTTCGTTATTAATACAAGAAAAAACATCTCTCAATGTAAACAACACTACATCAATCATTTTAATATATATTGGTTTTATGTTAAATTTTATTGAAAATTAGTCAATAGAGCTATGAACTAGCGTGGTTTATATTATTTAATGTATACTTTTATTTTTACAAAGACTACAGAAATTGCAAGTACAAAAAAAAAATGTTCATTAGATTTTACCCTAACTCTATAGCTAGTTCACCCATTGAAAAATTCCTAATTCCGCCCTTATGTGTATGTAAAGAGCCCATACGCCCATATACTTCCCACACCAAATATACCTCCTCCACACTTCAGGACTCACCCAATAGCACTGTTCATAATTAAAACAAAGAAAACGTATTTGAAATGATAGTGCTTTGGTTAAAAACAACGAAAAATAGAGAGACATGAGAATAAAAACAAGGTCATGAAAATAGATTATCCTGGTGGAATGTTGAGTATTATGAATAATACGAAAAACAATTGATTGCTTGTAATTGTTCTCTTTCTTTTGTAGTGAGCCTCTTCTAGTCTAGAAGGGTCTTCTATAATCATGGTTAGTGGGCTGATTTTTTATTTATCATCGTTGTTGAATTGTCTGTTCATTTACGCCTCTTATACCCTAAACCTTCAGAGAAAGAGAAGATATATATTTTATTGTGTGACGTTTATATATATATTCTCGTATGGGGACATCCATATCTTATCATTGTGTGACATCATGCATTTTCTATTATCCTTCCTGCTTTTCTTTATGTTTACAATGACATCCGCGTGATAATGTGCAGACATCTTTATATATATATAACTAAGGAATTTAAGGAGTAGGACCCGAAAAATAAATTTTGTACAATATCATACTTTAATATTTTAATCAACCATTCACACTACAGAAAACGCATTTATTCATTCATTCATACTTAATAATCCAACCATTTTGTTTCCCCGGCATATGCTATTGTACAACAACTATTTACTGCTTCTACGGGGAAGGTTAAGTTTATAATATAAATAGGGGATGGGACTATCTGCATGCAAGACTTACAGCTGTAAGCTTGTCCCCAAATCCCCAAGCCCCAAGCCCCAAGTCTTGATCGATCATCATGCAACTTATGGGATGTAGTCGAAGCCTGTTTGCTAGGTTTAACGTGGCGTGCAGAGTCCGGCGGTTTTATGTTTCACGTCCAGCCGCCACCAGCTACCCTAAGAACAAGGAGTGGGACTACTTCAAGGGTATTATTCCTATGTCAGCGGTGGCGAGCCGACGCTGGTTTCAAGGGAGCAGGACGCTTGCAGAACAGAAGGTAGATCATCTGAGGGCTTTCAAGCACCTGATGGACTCCGGTTATGAAGTGGATACCAAACTTACCCATGGTTCTACTGACCGTAAACAGGTTTAATTTAATTGCACTCCTCAATTGAGGATCCCTCAATTATATATATAATTACGTTTTAATTCAATTTTTGTTAGGTTTGCTATTTCACACGTACGTTATTACTAATAACACTTTTTCACTTGTGCTTTCAAACAGGATTACCCCAAACTTACCGATGGGTCTGATGGCCACGCGAAGGTTTAATTGCACTCCTCTAGCACAATATAAAATTGCTTTTTAATCCAATTTTTATTAGTTTTGCTACTTTAGATTGCTCCTGGGTCCTGGCTTTATTTTCACGTACATTATTAATAATGAAACACTTTTTCACTTTGCTTTTCTTTTTCCTTTCTTTTAAAACAGGTTGATGTCGAGGTGCTAAAAGGGAAGAATCTGTTTTTGTTCTTTTCAAGCCTGGACATTTCTAACGGTGATTATATTCGACTTCTGAATTTAGTTTATGATGAGGTAAGAAACAGAGGCCTTACGTATAAATTTAAGATTGTATGGATCCCTGTTGTGAAGCAGTGGAATGAACACGCACAGAATGATTTTGTCATGTTGAGGTCTAATATGCCATGGTACACTATGTCACCCAAATTAGAAGGCGACATCAAGAATAAGTGGGGTTACAAGGGTAAGCCTATCTTGGTTGTGATGGACGCATATGGCGATGTGGAAATCACCGATGCTTTCCCCTTGATTCGGGACAAGGGAGTGCAGAACTTTCCTTTCGACGATGTTTCCAATTAAAAACGGATCGATCATTTGGTATGGATATTGTAATCTTAAAAGTTATGCAGTTTGTTTTTGTTGGGGCTTTTGCCCCCATTGTTCATCACAAAAAAGAAAAAGAAAAGAAAAAAGGTTAAGAGGTTGCATTTCATATGAAGTAGATTTCTTAACATATAATATAGTAGGAAGCCGAAAGACAATAAATGAAATGCAGTTTGTTTTTGTTGGGGCTTTTGCCCCCATTGTTCATCACAAAAAAGAAAAAGAAAAAGAAAAAGGTTAAGAGGTTGCATTTCATATGAAGTAGATTTCTTAACATATAATATAGTAGGAAGCCGAAAGACAATAAATGAAGCAAGGAATTTATCGTGTTATACGGCTTGGCTCTTCAATTTTACAATAGGAACGGTTTTATGTGTCTTTATATTTCTAGAGATGGAAATATTACTTTCCATTCCAAATACCATTTTTTGAAGATTGGTTTCATATCAGTGCCTACTACAAGGGTCCTTATTGGCCCAATTTCTAGTAGTGTTAATTGGTTTTCAATGTATTACAATATTTTCACGTGAAAATATAACATGAAGTTTTTATAAAGAATTGGATTGATGTGTTTTTTATATATTATAAAATAATGTCATGTTAGAATGGACCTATTTGTGAAAAACTAAATAATAATGCTGCTAAACCGATAGTTCATTAGTCATATATATGTACAAACTAGAAAGCTAATTAATAGTAAATCAAGTTGAGCATTTGAGGCTACCTTGCTACCTAAAGAGGAAGAGAGAAAGAAAAAGAGAAGATATGATGAAGGGGAGATTCTCTTGTATTATTTCTCAGGTAGATCGGTCACTACATTGATTGAGATTATATATCTATGTTATCTTCTCTTACAACACTCTTAATAACTCTCTTAACAACTACGGACGACAGGATACTATTTAAGAATGGTAAATATGGTCTGCAATAAGGTAAGAACCAGAAGGATACTCGCTGCAATCAAAGAAGTAATTTTCCATGGGTTACCAAAGTAGTCGCGCTTCAATTTTTCAACGTTCTTGTTCCATGTAACATCGTAATATTTATTCACTTCAACGCAGAGATGATAATAGTCGAATTTTTTTACTAGGGTGTGCCAACGTAAAGCTTGTTAAAGAACTCAGAACCATCTTCAACGCTCAGCCAGTTACCAATTATTTTTTCTTGGCAAAGAAACTCCATATCACTTTTGGAAGCGATGAGTTTATCCATTAAAACGGCGTACGATGTTATTTGATGAGAACGACCATGGTAGCATTGCTCAAAGGCAATGAGGTTCCTCAATAATGGTTCGGTCAATTCTCCAACCGCTAGTGCTGGAATTGTTAAAACCCCATCCTTAAAGTCTATGTTCATTATGCTTGCATTATTAGACGAGCCCCTTTCAAATCTAATGCCTGCTTCTGAGAGAGCAGTTGCCGGTCCCAACTTTTGTTGTTTCTTTTTTGCGAACCACCAACGACATTTTTTGTCATTTTCTAAATTTCTACTGTACAAAAGATTTATATAAGAAAACAATGGAAGTTCTTAGGAGATCAAGTATGTGCAAAACTCCATCCTCATCAACCTTGTGGTCATCATCACGATCAAGATATTCGAGATAGGAGTTGCAATTATGCGACAACGAGTCTAGCTTGCTGAAGGCGGTGAGCAGGACTTTACTGAACTGGGAGCGGTCACTAGGGTAGCTTTCCAAGGTAACGCTATATAAACAGCTGAGAACAAACCAAGGAATCTGATTTTCTAAGAGCAAAAGATCGTGACACACATATTGGAACATGCAATCCATGTTAAATATGGGGTCATCTTCCTTTTCCTCACGGTGGATAAACTTCCGAAGTAGTTGTATTACGAAGCAACCATCAAGTATCATCATTTCTATCAAGTTACTATGCGTAAGGTGAACAAGTGATTCTGCATAAAATTCACGGGCGCGTTTCTCAAACTCAACGATGCCTTTTTCTTTTTTACCTAAAAACTTGTTAATGCGTGTGATGAATATTTCTAAGCTTATATTCATGCGGGAGAGAAGGTTTCGTAAATACCACTGTTTCACAGTTTCCATGCGTTGGAGTTGTTTACGGTGTCGATGAAAGGGTCCGATGGAGACAACGTCAGGTTGATATGCCTTTGGATTATGTCTGCGGAGCACTTGGGGAACTTTGAAGATGCAGCATGTGGAAGGCAAGGGTGATCTATCAGGGCCAAGCTTTCCTCTCATGCTCTCTTTCAATTCTTCAAGTAAATTATCTTCTACAGCAATTGAAGTATGATCTTTAGTGATTTCTATATCATTTGCCATGGTGACAACTCTGTTGTCCTCAAAGTCTGCAGCAAGAAGTAAATGCAGTCTAACCAATTAACATTCTCTACACACAAATTAATTTAAAATCTGGAAGATGAGAAAACATATATTTTTTATTTTCTAATTAAATTGTAGATTTGACTAACAAAATTAACATTCACAAACACTGATGACTAACAACGACAACATATACTCACCAAAATATAATAAATAAACAATGAGAAAATATCGCACTCTGGTTCGGAAGAAAAAGGGAACCAGTTGAAATGTACCTTGAGAGCAGACAGACAGTATTTGCTTCCGTAAAGCTCCAGCTCCAGCAACTGACCTACGGGATGCAAAAAGAGAAGGCAGATTCTGCTTAAGTAAAGGAGCGGCGCAACAATTGAATTTTCTTTTTAGGTTTTAGTATTTGAAGCCAAAACTGATATAGAAACTGTTAAAGTACAGAGAATTGCTCAATATATTTCATCATTTTATAGATTTATGAGTCAACTTGTTGCCTTTCTTTTTCTTTTTCCTGGCTGATCAAGTTGATGTTTGTATTTGTATTATTCATGGACGAAGACTTACTAGTGATCGACACTGACGTCGAGTCTTTATTTATTTATTTTATCAGGCACGACTTAACGAGTCTGCTTTAAATAGTTTGGAAAGTTTGGACAATGCTTGGCTCTTGATGTATCAAGAGCCAATCCTCCTCAACCATGACGTGGCTTCTTAAAAAATCAACACGTGTGTATTTTTTTTTTTTTCCCTCTTTCCTCTTTCCTCTTCCTCCAACCTTTTGGCTGGTTTTAACTGCAGCTCCCAAAGACACCGCCACCCCTATTCCAAATCCACCCTCATCACCAACCTCGCCCTCTCCAAAAACCTCTCACTTTATCTTTTTTTATTGTTCATCATCTCATATATGTGGGTTGTTGAATCTGATATTCATCTATCATGAGCAATATTCCAAGATCTCTAACCGACTCCGCCCTCCCCCTCTTCAATCTTGCAATCTCTGCTTCTGATCCTTGGCCTTTTCCTTTCGTCTTCTTATAACCCATCAAGAAAATTCAAAAACCACTGAACCTATAAGGCAGCCCACCAAACGGCACCAGCAAATTTTTTTGGTTTCACCTCTATTTAGCATGTAAGCTTTCTCCTCCTTCTCCCTCTCCCTTTCCTTCTCCTTTCTTCGACAACCATGAAAAATCTTTTTTTTTCAAAAAAAGAGAAAAACCTGCAAGTCACCCTCCCCTGCCTTCGTCTCTTTCTCCTTCACTTATCCAAGTTTAAAAAAAACTAGCAAAAGACTTGAGTTAAAGGAGTTGAAAAAAAAAAAAAAAACATTGTTTTGCTATCCCCGATCAATCATGGTATGCTGAATAAAAAAGTTATCATGGATGACATACCGTGATTGGCTGGACCAGAGATATAGTAAAACAATGATATTCCTGTTTCACACAAGTCTTTCTCGTCGAGTAGAAATAGACAATTTCTGAAATAGTTTTCAGTGGAAAGCAAAGCATAGTTCATCACCATTTGTATAAAGTAATATTATGGCGTTTGATTAATTTTATTTCCATTGAAATATTTATAAGTTTATAAACTAGCTTTAACATGATGGAATAAATAGAGGGTTGTTAGACCTTGACTGTGGGATGCCGATAAAACAGGGCGATTGCTCTTCCTTCTGGCAGCTGCCTGATGTCGGTGTTGAATACTGAAAAATATAAACCAAGTCGTTTTTTTATTATTTGTGGGAGTATCGAACCATTGGATGAAATAAATTTAATGATCAGACTTCGACGTTGCACATGAGCCAAACAAAATTTTAATCAACCATATTCACACTACAGAAAATATTTAGTCATTCACACTAATCCGACCTTTTTTTTTTCCGACATATGCTATTGTACAGTTCAAATGCTTAATTGCTCCAGTGCCCCTTGAAAGACTTACAAACGGAGTGAGCAGGCATCGACCTAGAGCAATTAATCCCAAGTATAAATAGGGCATCGCACTATCTGCAAGACTTACAAACCCTTAGCAGAAGTAAACTCTACGCCGGTCCCAAGCCCCAAGAGTTAATATCTTAATTACTCTTGATCATCATGCAACAGTACACGGAATGTAATCGAAGCCTGTTTACTAGGTCTAATGTGCCTTGCAGAGTTGGGTACGTTTCACCCCCAGCCATGGCCATCAGCTTCCCCAAGAACAAGGACTGGGACTACTTCAAGGGCATTCCTATGTCAGCGGTGACAAGCCGACAAGGTTTTCAAGGGGGCAGGGCGCTTGAATGCAGGTTCACAGAGCGTCTTGAACCTGTGAAGGTTTTCAAGGGCCTCATTTGTCCCAATTATAAAGTGCATCCCATACTTACTGATGGTTCTGCTAACAATAAGCAGGTTTTGCTCCTCTTCCTGGCCTTGTTTTCACATTAATATTATTGCTTTTGAGTTTTTATTAGTTTTGCTGCTACTTTAGATTGCTCCTGGCTTCATTTTACCCTTGTGTGTGTGTGTTTTTTTTGTTCTTTTCAAACAGGTTAACCTTAATGAGCTAAGGTGGAACACTCTGTTTTTATTCTTTTCAAACCTGAACATTTCTACCCGTCATATTTCAAGTCTGAATTCAGTTCATGATGAGGTAAAGAACAGAAGGGGCATGCATAAGATTGTATGGATCCCTGTTGGGGAGCATTGGAATCAGGGCCGGCCCTGGGTGATTGAAGGCCCAGGGCAAAACTTTAAGAGTGTGCCCTTTATTCATAAATTATTATTTTTTTAATCAAATAATTAATTGAGTGCTGCTATTTCCATCATCTTGTCCTATTTTCCCACCCATCATATCTTTAAAATTTTAAAGACAAGTTTATCTTTTTGTAAAATAACTTATAAGGACTTATGTAACTCATCTTAAGTGTAAATCCAACATGGATGTTAACAATTTTAAAAAATTATTTTAGAATATTAAAAAAACATGAAAAACTTCATCACTTCCTTCCCAGGCTGCACCAAACAAGCCACCACCCAAACACCACCAGCCACCTAGCAACCACCATCTACCAGAAGCCGAATAGCACCCACCCACCCAGCTAGCTCTCAAGACACCTAATCCCCATCAAACCAAATTATCCATAACCCATTCTAAATAATTACCGACCCAATTTGACAAAACTCATTAACTAGTGTATTGCAATTTGCAAGTATGAGAATCGATTGAAATAGCCTTCCTCACCATTTGAGACAAAAACCAAAAGCCTGATAAGAAAATCCTTGTTTAACCTGGTTGCCCTGGCCAAGGGCCGGCCCTGATTGGAATGAAAAAGTACAAAAGGATTTTGAGAGGTTGAGGGCTAAGATGCCGTGGTACACAGCCCAGTGTTTTTCACCCATATTAGACCTCAAGGAGAAGTGGCGTTACAAGGGTAAGCCTATCTTGGTTGTGATGAACCCTCAAGGCGATGTGAAAAACACCAATGCTTTCCCCTGGATTTGGAAGCATGGAATGAAGGCCTTTCCTTTCTACGATGCACAATAATAATAAAAAAACAGATCATTTGAGAGATGGGTATAGCAGGGAGTTTAAAACACAATAAAGCAAGGCAATAGCTTTGAATTGTTTGTCTAATTGATTGGACTTTTCAGGTTTAAATAAACATTTTTATTTATTTATTTATTTTACGATGAGCAGCAGAAATAGAATTAAAAACTCTTCGAAAAGTTGAGAGAAACGCCAACAAGTCAATGATTGGTGTTGAAATACACATTTGGTGATCCCAAAATTATTATTATTATTAAAAGAAAGGGAAAATTCATTATAAATGGCAAACTACTACTGGTTTTCTTTTGCTTTTTTTTGAAAATTAGCCATAATTGCATTCAATAATTGGGCACAAAGACCAAATACCCATAAATAGTTAATACCAAGGACGGAATCAGGAAGTTTTATATGAGTGGACTAATATTTTTTTTCTTTCAATGAGAGATTTATAAGCCCTATATTTAAAAATAATAATAATATTTAAATAAACACCAAATCAAATTTTTTTTGTCAACAAAAAAAAATTTACTTATCGGAGTGAAACGAATTCGACAATGCTATTGTTATTTAGATGTAAATTGTAATAGCAATCTACATAAAAAAAAATGCTATTAAGATGACAAAGAAGACAACAGGAATCAAGATGATATACTATTGAATATCTCATGATGTTTTTGATTGGTTTATTATAATAGAAAAATCAAACAAGGGTTGGGCTAATATTTGTGGGGGTAAGAATAGCTTATAAAATTTGCACCAAGTTTAGTATTTCAAAAGTCTTGCACTAGCCTATACACAGTTCCGTGGTTAATACAAAGTTAGATGCAAAGTAACCGCAAAGGGTTAATCTAAATATATGAGGATACATTTGCGACATCGCACAACTTATATCTCCACTAATAGCCCTAAAAGACCAAATACATTTCAACTTAACAGTCACGCGCCTAAGCTAATCAGACATATGTTATACAATGCCCAAAATTACAAACACAACTACAACAATCTCACAAGTAGAATATAGACTAAAACACAAATAAACACCCAACTTACAAAGAGTTGATGGAATTATTGTGACTCAAACAACTGCAAAAACAAGCCGCTCAGTCACTTCGTCTGTCTTCAAATCATAAATAGAAACAGACCACATATATGAAGTGGATCTACAGCAGGGCCGGTCCATTGATTTTGGAGGCCCTGAGCAAAATGAAAATTGAAGCCTTTTTGGTTGAACTCTTACCTCATTTTGAACAAAAATTATAATAAAAAATTTCAAACTTAGGTGGTAAGTAGGTTAGTTTAAGTTAATATATATATATATATATAAAGGGCCCATTCTATGACAGATAAATAAAAAGGCCCAAATAAAGGTCAAAAAAGCATTAGTTTCACACATAAAAGGCATTTTTTTACTAGTATACTAATTGGACTGGAGGTGTGTAGGAGGTCTCATTGTTTGGCAGCCTTGTACCATCGTCCAGTCCGCACACCTTGTGGGTTGGGCTTAAAATACAGTGAGAATCTCAAATCTGCCAAAAAAAAAAATTAAGCAAAACAATAAAGCATCAACAACGGGCCAAAAGAGAAAAATGGAAGGAGATAGAGAGAGGGGAAGGCTAGGAAAGGAGGGGTGAGGGAGAGGAGAATAACTACTATTGGTTCTTTCTTTTTTTTCTCTCGCTCTCTAGGTTTTTTGAATAGAATAACTACTATTAGTTTTGTATCAAACGCAGAAAAAAAAAAGACTATTTAGTTTAAAACCATATATTAATGGTGGTGAACTACATGCTTAAGAAAGAAACTAATGCCTATTAAAAATGTGATTACATGCAATGATCCTCTTGGATCATGGCTTTCCCTTAAATTAAAAGTCTCGAGTTTAAGGCCGATTCTGACTTTTGGGTGGCCAAAGCAATACACAAAATGAGGCCCTTTCCTTTTTGAGTTTGAATTTTTTTTAAATTCTATTTGTTCCTTTTATTTCTTTTTTTCACTTCCATATTCATATTTCTTAGGAAGCATTTTTCTACTGCAAGTCTCAAGTCTATAAAGAAAACAGACAATCACAAAACACACCAAATACAACCAGTGAAGCAAACACAATCAATGAACCAAAGTACTATCAATAAAAAAATATTTGAACAACAAACAAAGCGCAATAAAACTTGGTTGAGAATCTTTTAAAGAATCAAATTTTTAGGGTTAGAATATAAGAAAAGAGGGATGAGATGAACTAAGAAATAATAGATTAGAGAGAGAGAGAGAGCTTGGAAACCTCTCAATCTAACTGCTTGAATGTTTTAATTGACAAGACCATATTTTAATAAACTACTCTAATCTATAAAAAGGACTCCAATTCAAATATTCTAAACTACTACAAACATTTAATTGAGTGCTTAAATAATTTTTGATTTAAGTACTTTTTGAAGAGATGATCTTTAAAGAAATACCTTGTTGATGCCTAAAATTGGTTCAACAGAAGATGACCTCTTTGAGATCGAGGTTGGGCAATTCTTCCGGACTAGGTCAGCGTGACCAATCAAGTCGTCCTTCAGAACCTTTAAAACAAGATAGCTTCAATGGGTGACACCGGTGTGGTGCCAGCCAAGGACCCTCTGATGTTTAAGTCAGTCGAGTGTTTGAGAATAAAATTTCACAATAGGTTCTAGTGCTTAGAATTGCGTACCTTTCACAGAGGATGGCCTTAGCCTTGTTAGAAATATGCCCTTAAAACCAACTATTTATGTAATAGTTAGAGTTAAGGAAATTTTTGATAAAAGACACATTATGTTATCAATGGGCAAGAAATGTTGTTTTATGCATTAAATCATCCTACATTATCTTTCAATATGTAGAACAACCATAGTCCAAGGAATACACAAGTGGATGTGAGAGCTATGTAATGAGATTGCATACATGGAGACTTCTCATCCTCCCTAAATCCTGAATATGTTCCTGGTCATAGGAATATTGATTAAGCGTCAATATTCTACAAAGACCAATACACACAGTATCGTCTCTATATGTGGGGAATGGCAAGGTCTCAAGTCATTAAGTGTGGAGACACATCGATATGTGTGTAGGTGCTTGTAGAAGAACAAGTACATTGAACGCGATCCAATACATGAGTTACAGCATGGAAGTCTTTATTCACATGTCAAGCTGGAACTCATAAATTGCAATGGTGCAAACTAATCCTTAGACCTGAGGCATCATAGATGTTTTGTGGCTATGTTGTTAATTTTTGAGGGCACTATACGGTCATGCTGAATTAGGCATAACTTAAAGGTGCTCATCAGGATTCTCAATAGAGTCATGGAAGCAAATAAATGTACAACAAGGAATCTCTACTCTCAGTAAAGGAGAGAGAATACTCCAAGATATGATTGGTCAAATCTCTGCGCAGAGTAATAGATAAGACTTGAAAGAAGAAGTCTTCAAATCTTACCAGGATAATCATATAAAAGGAATGATTCACATTAGGATATTGACAATCGGATTTCATGATCTAATAATGTGAATAAGGAGTATTGAAAAAAAAAAGGATTCAATTGCATGGTCATTCCAATTTAAATAGGTTCTTTCATAATGTCTCATTTAGCTCGGATAACTGTAACTTGCTGCTAAGCGACAACCATGGTTTGTGGATGTCCTAAAAAGTTTCAGTTAACCTTTATTAATAGGAATTTAAGTCATATATCATCTCTGAAGAGTTGAGTCAACCCACTACCTTGCTAAAGGGAACCTACAGATCTGCACACCCAAAGAAAGTGATTAGAGGTACAAATGAGGAGAAATGAAATGAGGAGACACAAGTCAATGGTAGATAATCAAATGTCAAAGTCAATAGTCAAAAGTCAACATGTTGACCGGAACAATTGACTAAAGTCAAATAGTTCGACCGGGTCAATTAAGTAAAACTATAATTATAATTTAATAGTTAAATTATAATTAAAAGATTAATTATGGAATTAATATTGACATATAGAAATATTGGATTGGGTTTTTAAATATGATTTAAAAGGAAAAGGACACAATAGCCCAAAAGGCTATTGGACCCAAGGGATAAGTGGCATAAGATGACATGACCCATGGACCAAATGGAGCCTTAAATTCCCACCCAATTGCCTTTTGTGTTGTTCTATATAGGGTATACTACCGAATTGTCCCCTGAACTTGTACCTAATTATCAATTTACCCCCCGACCTTTTTTTTTAGCGAATTAAAGGCTCGAATTAAATTTTATTCTCAATTCCCCCCTTACCGTCTAAATCAACAACATGTCATCCAATAATCCGTCAAATATGAGGGCAAATTGGTCATTTCATATGTTTAAAATAATTAAATACTTTTAAATAAAATAAAATGACATACAAATGAAAAAAAATATTTTATAAACAAAGGAGTGGGACCCACCCACCCTACCCCCTTCACCTCC